TTTCCCCCCAAAGGAAAAGATCACATGCAATAGATGCCCTGCTGCCTTTTACAGGAGTTTATGACTTTAGCCCTAAACAAGGAACTATTGAAAGGAAAAAATATTTGGCTTAGAGAAACTCCCTCTTGGATAGGAAGATTTGCTAGGTCAGGAAAAAGCTGGTGGTGCATGACCTCTGAAGAAATATTGCCTATTCTTTTACGAAGACTAAAAGCGATTCAAAAAGCCCTCAAAGATAAATGGCAACAAATAATAAAGGATAGTGAAATGAAGAAAATAATCATACGACTCAAAGAATACAAACCGTTCAGGAAGAAATAGCAAAAGGAAGAGGAAAAAGATATATTGGAATATTGGTTAGACAATAAATAAAAAGTTGGTTATTCCCATTCCCATGAGAAAAATAATTCTCTCAAATATACATGCCTACCTGTAAATATTAAATTCAAAGAATTAAAGGGCAAATGGAGACAGGCTGTCTTACACTTCTATGGTAAAATAGAAACCGCAAGGCTACAAAGAAAACAATGAAGACATTGCTTGGCTATGTTAAGAAAAGGTTAATCATTGAACTTTGTACTTTCCTTTTACTGTGATTATTGAAAAATATTGTACACTGAGAAATACTGTGCAAACGCATGGTTTGATTTATGGTCTGATGCTTTACTGCTACTGTAAGCTTTCTAATTATAAATAAAGGTTGTAGAGGGCTGCTTTCAGAACAGAAGTAAAAGACATTTGGGCTGACCTCCGCAGAGAGCGTCAGTCAACAGCCTCTACCAAGAACTGCAATTGTGGTTTCTGGTATAGTCATTTCTACCACCACAGTTACCTTCACCCCTTCAGGCCCCGGACTCAGCTGGAGCTGGACTCCAGCAGCCAGGCTTCCCTGAAACAAGGATCACAGCTGGTGTAAGTCTCCTTCCAGACCACCACCTAACTCCCTCCACCAACAACGGGACAAGTCACCACTAAAGTAAACTGATTGTTCAGGTCCCCCACCACTTCTGGCTCAGGCTTCATGGGCCTCCAATCCTATCCCTTCTACACAAAGAATCTAGTAGGCCTAAGCCTCTGCCCTGAGGAGCAGTCACACAGTGGACCCCCCTCTAAGGTAACAGTGTGCTTTGTTAGACTCCAATCAAGTCTCCTATTGAACAAAGATCAGCAGTCCCCTAGAGACATAGGCAGACTGGTCAGTGAGAACAGACCCACACTAGCTCTGCTTGGGCAAGGAAAGAATCTGAAAGGAAACTTGTACCCTTAGGAAATTTGTGCATCTTTAAACAATTTGGGGGTTTTGTTGTTTGTGGAGAGCCACAGCCTCCGCCGCCATTACAAGATGGCGCCGGTATCCGGACCTTCTTAATAGTAAACATCCTGCTGCACCCATAAGGGGCATGCACAAGAGCCTGCTCTCCCTCGCCTCCTCCCGTGGCGTGATCTCCAGCAACCAATCCGCTTCTTATATGTCATAAATGGGACCTTTAGGGCATATATAAGCAACAGCTCTCCACTTCTCGTCGTCTTCGGTCTTCATCCTTAGTATGTTATGTAAGAGGCTTATGAAATAAACTGCTGCAGAAGGATCCTGACTTGTCCTCCCGCGTCGTTCTTGCCGGCGAGACGGAAAGCTGTCCCCGGTCTTCATCCTTAGTATGCTATGTAAGAGGCTTATGAAATAAACTGCTGCAGAAGGATCCTGACTTGTCCTCCCGCGTCGTTCTTGCCGGCGAGACGGAAAGC